CTACTTTGTGGCAATGATGTGTTTCCTTTGCTGGAACTAAGGTTCTTAAGGGCATACTTATTTTCTTTACTAAGTGAAGCACATGCAAGGACTGATACAAAACATATTTCCATCCTGTGCAGCTTCATGGCCATGGCTGATCTTGGGAACAGAGGAGGGATCCACCGCCCCTTGAGCCTCACCTGCTCCCTGCTCATTGTGGGAATTTGCTGTGTATCTCCTTTCTTCTGCCATAGCCAGACAGACCTGCTGGCTCTTAACCAAGCTGATCCTCAGTGCTGGGAATCCTCCTCAGTACTTCTCCTGGAAATGCGAAAGCCTCGCATTTCCAACACTGTTTCAGGATTCTGGGATTTTATGATCTACCTGAAGTCATCTGAGAACTTGAAGCATGGAGCACTGTTTTGGGATCTGGCCCAACTCTTCTGGGACATCTATGTGGACTGTGTGCTCTCTAGGAACCATGGATTAGGAAGGAGGCAATTGGTTGGAGAGGAAGAGAAAATCTCAGCAGCACAGCCACAGCACACAAGAAGTAAACAAGGTGGTCAACCCCAGCTCCCATGTCTTTTGAAAGGGTCAATCAAGTATGAATGTACTGAAGTGTGAGAAAAAGGGAAATGGCATTAGGGGAATTCGGTGTCATACATATTCCTCTTAAGAGGTGAACCCCAAGAACACACAAGTGACAGGAAGATATATAGCACTTGTTTTTGCATTGCACAGTAGCTGTTTATATCAACATATTGTCCTCATCCTCATACTTCCTGTGAACAGCAGCAAGGAAGAGTCAGAAAGAAAAGAGAAAAAGTATGATTCCCAAAATACAACACAAAAGTATAAAGAGATGCCCCAAGATCAACATTATTTTTTACTATTAGCCTGAACATTGGCAGTCATAACCTAACCTGGTGTTTTCCACTTGTAGTGAAATTGAGAAGACTTGAATATAAGCTTAGGGAATATTTGCAGCACACAAACTCTTGCCCCTGTTAAACTGAAAATACACATTGCTTTCACGTAAGTGGAGAGGCTCCGTAAGAGGTATTCAGTTGAAGAAATAAAGAGTAAAAAAGTCAACTGGCATGTAGATTCACTTCATGTTGCTTTTTGAATGAATCTCAAATAAGTAATTAACTTGGACCAATCTGAGTAATTTTGAGTAAGTTGGAACTTGCTACAAATTTAGAGATTTTTCACTGAAGTAAATACTATATTCAAATAGTCTCATCTGAGGGTATAGAAAAAAATATCCCTTATACAATTAGAATGAGGTTGCATAAGCCTCTCTGCATTATCAGAGAGATGCCTGGACCTTATTCATATTATTTTAATTCCTTTCTGATATCATTTCGACCAATAAGCATTGAAACCTTGTATCAAGAGCTGTTTGGCAATAACTCTTTAGAATTATATATGCTACAGTAGAAAACAGGGGCATAAGTAATTTTTACATTTATCCATTTTATTGTTAGAATTGTTACATATTCCTGTAATCTCCATATTTAAATACGAATTAACAGTGGTAGTTCTAGTGCTGCCCTTTCCAAAGATATTTTGGAGCTTTTGTATATCTAGTTTGTTTTAACTTTAGTAATTAAAAATCCTCATGATTTGTTGATCCAAAAAGTCCAGATAATTCATGGCTATAATTTATAGATAAGTTTATTATTTTAGTAAGTGTTATTGTAACTCAAGCCAGTTTCATTTTTTAGAGGAAATATTCTTTCTCCAGGTTTGCTGCTAAAGTGGAAATACCAAATGAATATTTTAAAATGTTGGTTATCCATATTATAAAACTATTTTGAACAGAGGCTTCCCAGGAATCAGCACCAGTAAAGACCATATTTTTTTATTCTATACTGCTGAGGATGATCTGTAGGGCTTTTTCTTCCATATTTAAAAAATCATATTTAGCTGTCTTACTCAAATCACTAGCAATATTTTTTCTATCTTGCATTCACTTTGAATAACTCAAAGAAATGTCCACTGAATAAATGAAAATATTATTTGGATTCAGCTGCACATGAAAATGTTACATATATATATATATATATATATATATTTTATAAAGGTTTTCCCCAAGTCAGCTTCAGCTTTGGAAGTCACTTCCTTCATCTTGCTACAGAGTTGTTGGTGATTCACCTGGTCTGCAACTTTAGAGAGCTGGTATGCAAGTAGCCAAGTAGCAGGAGTGAGCATTTCACTTTATTGGGCTTATTTTAATGTTTGACAAAAGCAATTCCTTGCAGACCAAGAAACAAGACTTTCCATTCGGTTTGTAAAACCATAGTCAAAGAGGGTCTTGGGTCAAGGAAATGCCATGTTCAAATCTTAAATAGTTACAGGAACATAGAGATTTCATCTTAAGAGGCTTGGTTAAATCTCTAGTGGTTCAACTGGGCTCTGAATGTACCTGCATGGATCCTCCAGTAATTTTTTCTTTTGTCCCTGGGGATAATATGTTGTCAGATTGGGGTGGGAGTGAAGGTGAAGAAGTGCTTGTCTCTATAGTTCTCAAGAAAAATCACATCATCAGGTCAGAAGACAAGAAGAACTAAAATAAGTGTCTACATAATATGCAAAAAGGTTCTTGTTATTTTGATATCTTCAAATCAAATAGTTCAAATGCACTTGATAAATCTTACTATGATCAAAAACATAAAACTCCTATATAATTTTGCATGCTAATATATCATATTTGTTAATACTGAGTCAACAAATATGAAAACAAAAAATATCAAATAACCGTGTAACTGTGAGCAGGTTAACTAACTTACTTAGCCCTCAGTTTTTTCAGCTGAAAAAGAAGTGTACAGAAAGTAGATGATACACAAAGTCTCATTTTTTCTGTCCCAATATTCTGTGATTCTATAAAAAAGAATCATATGAAAGGCACTTATTTAACTATGTGCCTGGAAGGACCTGGAAGAGCCTTCACCCCAAGGACAGTTGACTGAGTTGGATGATGACCTGGACATTATGGCTGTTTATAATAATGATGAGCAGGAATAGATGAGGTTCAGAAATAAATGGGCTAGAGATGTCATTATGAGAAAAGCCTCTAAAAATTATTGTTATTTAGTCTAGAATGACATGGGCTACTAACTGAAGGTTGAAGTATCCAAGAGAAGGTATAAAGAGGACATATCCAGGATTAACCAGTTAACCACTAAATTCTGATGGGTTATGTCAAGGAAGAAAGAAAGGGACACACACACACACACACACACACACACACACACACAGAGAAACAGAGAAAGAGAGAGAGAGAGAGAGAGAGGGAGAGTTAGGGAAAGAGCATACTGATGACTTCTAAGTAGAAAATAATAGAATTGAGAGTAACTCATGAGTTAGTAAAAGCTTCTATGCAAATAAAGAATTTTCAATGTACATTCTTCGTTGGGTCAAAATGGTGGCCTCCTCCTTCAACAAACCTTGCTCTGCCACTGAAAGGAACAAAAAACCCTGCCTTCCCGATTCTGGTATTTTGTATGTTCTAGAAAAATAGTGAGTCTTTGTTTTCCTCTGTGATGCAAAAATTAAAATTTAGATTTATAAACTGATGGTGTTTGCAGCTGGTGTCTCACTAGCTGGCAAATGTTCATAGTGCTTATATTTTAAACACTAACCACAAGAGAAAACAATGGTTCAGAAACAGAAACAGACGCTCTAATGCTTGATTTTCTACTTCACCCATTCCAAGAAATTTTCTAATTCAGCAATTACCCATCTAGATATCTACTAAGAAACATTTAGAGATACAGTTAATGATGTAGTCCAAGGCTATTCATTGCAATATTACTTATAATAATAAGAAACCTGGAAATAATCGAAATATCCCACAATAGGGTAGTGGTTAAATAAATTATAGTATAAAGTGTGGATACACAAAGCTATGTTTATCTCCAGGAGGTTATATTATGAGCAGTTTAAATTTTTTCTTTATATTTCTGTATAAATAATTATATAATGACTATTTTTCACTTTTTAAAAATTAGACAAATATTTCAATGCCTATTAATTGACAAAGAAATGTGTTTATTATAATTTCTTTATTTTAGATTATGTAACTAAACTGCATAGGACCCAAGACTTTGCATAAATACACATTTACATCTATTCATCTGAAATAAATGTATACAGAGTTTTGATATTAGAGTGGCAGAAACATCAAACCTGCCTTTTAAAAATAATTTATTGATATTAAATTAACCTGAAAATAATTTGCTGATCTTAAGAAGTTTCATTTTTCTACTTTCAGGTACATATTCTCAGCTCCTAAGGACCGCTTTCTTAAAGAAGAAAGAGTTGATTGAAGATTTGATAAGCATGCATGTGCATAGGAGAGGGTCTAGTGTCATTGGAAAAGTGAACCAGGAAATAAAGAGAAAATAATTGGAACTTGGAGCTAATTCATGCCTTGAAATTAAATATACATATATAACATTTCTCTTAACGATTGATTATTTATTTATTTTAAATGGTGGAAATGTCCAGGGGTAAATATCAACCCACATTCTCTCAGTATACTTATTTAGAGCTTCATTTTTTTTAAGGCTGCTAGCATGTTTCTTCAAGGTGACATTACTGCCAGTCTATACCCCAGTCTAAAGGAGTTAAATAACTTCCAGAGATTACTGGGGGATTCTTTGTATTCATTTAGTAGTTCATTTTGGGATGCTTGACATGTTAACAAACTAGTGTGCCATACATTTGACTTGAATACACTGCATGGCTTCCAAGCCTTTAACCACTGGAGTGCTTATGCATAGGCACATAAGGGACTATATTTATTAATCACTAGTTACTGACAATCTGTGATACCTGGATCTTGTTTGAGAGCATATTTTTTAATACCAAATGAAGCAAAAAGTAAAACAAAACAAAAAAACTGGCAAAAAAAAGCATTCTTCTAATGAAAACAAAATTAATAAAAGCTCTGGACCCCAGGTAATGTGATTGGAGTCTCTTTATTTCAACATTTAATGTTACCACTAATGACATCCAAATTCTAATAAAATAATGTTTAAGTGTAAATAGGTACAAATTATTTCCCACTAAGCATATTTACTCTTTGCTTAAATATTATAACTCTATACATGGTTACATTTTGCACTGAAAAGCAAAATAAAGTGAACGACATTATAAGAGAAGAACCCATAAATAATTATTTCCCTGAAAAATGACCAGGCCTGAACAAGGTTTATAGCAGAGAAGTCCAATTAGCAAATGTATTTGAGTTTGAGACACAATGCTATTTTTATCTCTAATTATTCCCAACTCTCCAATCATTCTATCATAACCAATATATAGGATTGACAGCCGGTTTGAATTTCAGATATGTTAGCAATTCCCTTGCTCTTTTCAGGTCCAAAGGAAGCCTCAGTATATGTTTTCACTGAAGGATTAGGGCCCTCCTTAAACTAGAAATTGTTTCTAAAGGGTTATTATCAGAAAACACAGTTTTGTTTGAAGATGAGCTGAGTCTTGACAACAGGGAAAGGAAGCTTGGGGAAAGACGTGGGGGAGAAGGCCCAGCCTCAGCTACTGGTTGGTTGGAAAAATTAGTATTTTACCAAAAAGATGCCACCCTTTGACTACCTTTTCTATATATAGGCTCATGACTTTGCATTCTGATGCTTTCTCTAATGTTTTTCATCATATTCTTCAAAGCTATCATGCAAATTCACTATCTCATAAATCATCGAAGAGACAGTACACTTGGAGAATGAGCTTGCAGAAGAGCCTGTTGTTCTTCCCTCACCTTGGTACTCCACTACAGGGAATGCAATCTTTTTCTGTAGTCTGATAGTAAATATTATAGGCTTTGTGGGCCATCCAGTCTCTGCTGTAACTAATCAATTCTGCCTTGGCAGAACAAAAGCGTTATCACAATACATAAATGAATGAATATGGTTGTGTTCCAATAAAAATCTGTTTATGGACACTGAAATAGGAATCCATGCACTTTTCAGGTGCCACAAAACATTTTCTTTTGGACTTTTTCAATGGTTTAAAAAGATGAAATAACAACATTTATCTCATAGGCTGTTCAAAACAGGGAGTGAGCAGAATTTGGCCCAGGGGCTACAGCTTGCTGATGAAGGGCATGCTTATCAAACGTGTAAGGAACAAGCTGGGATGAAGTAAAAAGGAGAGTAGCTATGCTAAATGACAAAACTAAAACCAACAGTTTAGGACAGGCTAAAAAGCAGATTAAAAACTGTTAGGATGAGATGGAACAGGGATAACCTAGTCCTAATCCCATCCAGTGGGATATTATTTCACTCTGTGAACAGTTTTAGGAATTACAGATCATATAAAAATCTACAACCTCTATGAATGTTACATGGCCTGCATCTCAAGATAATAGGCAAAAACATTGAAATCACCACAATATTTATTGAAAGGAAGTACAGAGTAGTGGTTATAGTATAGGTTCAAAGCCGAGTTCAAATCTCAGCTTCATCAAGAAGTGGCCACATCACTTTGGACAAGTTACTAAACCTCTTTTTCCTTATAAAATGAGATATATACTACCTAGGTTTCTTGTGAGGATTAAATGAGTTAGTGCATAGAAAATGCTTAAAAACTAAGTGCTCTAAACGTCAAAGAAGGTTAGCTCCTACTTTGCACATAAGTAAGTTAAGCATCTATAACCTAATCCAACATACAGAGAAAGGAGGCACACAGATGCTTTGGTGAAACTTGTCAAATGTGGAGGTTTTAGAGACAGACATTCATATTAAATTTTTTATTTTGAGATACTTGATTCATATACAGTTATAAGAAATAATACAGAGACATCTGTATGCCTTTCATCTAGTTTCCCCAATGGGACCATCTTGCATAACTACGGCACAATATTATAACCAGGAAACTGATATTGGTATAATCCAAATTTATTCAGGTGTTACCAGTTTTACATGCAGTCGATTGTGTGTGTGTGTGTGTGTGTGTGTGTGTATTTAGTTCTCTGCTAAGCCTATTCTCCAGCAGAAACATCAAGATAAAAAATTAGGCCATCAATTCAGTAATTTACATGATACTTGAGGAAGACAGTCGCAGGCATCCGTGAGGTCACACACTTGAATGTTACTCCGGAGGTATTCATGACCATTCCATGCGGAGATCTGACTCTGCCATTTCTTCTTTCCTTCTTCATCCTCTACTCACCCCCTAACCCGCAACCTTTACTCTGAAATGAAGACCTAAGATACATAAGTAAGGAGATCAGAAAACAAAACTTATTTTCTTCATAGTTCACACTAAACTATTAAAAGAAAGGTAGAGGTCTTAATTCTTTTTAATACAGATGTGCAACTGCATTTTGTCATCACACCAAGAAGCCTCTGAGCCTGGACTCCATTTCACTCCAAATTGGGCAAGGCGATTTGATCAACAAGAGCAGAGAAGGCCCTGCACACTCGCTGAGCTCCACTGTACAGATCCATGTTAACTGAAGACTCCGGGCCTGAAGTCAACAAACAGGAGAATCAGAGAAACATGCCTATAAGTTCTCAAAAATATCTTGATAAAGCTCTCACATGGAGAAGAAACAGAATCTATTTTTTCCTCATTTCTTGGGGACAGTGCCCTTAAGTTAGCTAGCAAGTAAGATGGCTGTTATTTACCATGACCAATACTATGAATTCAGCCAGGCATAGGTTCTTATGAAGCATTTTCCCACAGATCCTAGCACAAATGAGAGTAGCCAGAAATCCTACTATTGGCTCCGGAACTGTGGTGTCTATCAAAATCACCTGGAGAGTGTTAAAACAAATTGCTGGACCTCACCTACAGAGTTCAGATTCTGTTCAGCTGGGACGAAGCCCGAGCATTTATATGTATTGTTAAGTTCCCAGGTGATACTGATGCAGCCAGTCTAGACACCACACTTTGAGAAACAGGGCTCTATAGTTACCTGATTAATGGTTTGAGTGGCCTCTATGATCTGTTGTACTAGGGACTGTGGTGTAGAAACATCTACAATTTGGCAGGTATCAACTAAAATTTTGATATGTATAATCTTTAACTTAAAGAGTTCTGTTTTTAGGAATTGATCTTACAAACATATTTACTTTTACACATAAAGATATATATATTATAAGGATACATACCAAAGTATTTTTGTGATAATAAAAATTGGAAGCAACTTAATTATATACCAATAAATAAATTATGGTACATTTAGACCCTGGGATATTATGTGGCATTTTAAAAATGACGTTGCTCAATGTAAGATATTGAACAAGTGAAGAAGGCAAAAGCATAGTATAATCTAACATGTTGAAAAAGTAAAGACATACATATGTGCACAGAAAACAGTTTGAAGGAAACTCACTAAACTGTTAATAGTGGATACCCCTGAAAAACAGGTGGGAGGGAGTGAAGAGCATGATGATGAATTCATTTTTTAAAAATCTGCATACTTAGCATTTTAATTTACAATAAACGTGCGGTATTACATTATTTGTGTAATTAATAAAAAATAGGATCACAGGAAATGAAAACATGAACAGATTTATTTTGTTAGTTGTTTACTTTTTAGCTACGTAATTTATATTGTGGGTTCATCTGTGCTGTTTTTTGTTGAACGTAAGGAGAGAGGGTTCATGCATTTTTAATTCCACTTATCCTCCAATACTGTTCCAGAGGACCTTGACTAAATAATATTTTATTGTCTGACTAACAAACCTTGTCCAGAAGCAAACTTATTGTAAGACATTGTTTCTCAGACCACAGTGATAAAAACTTAAAGTACAGCAATAATAAATAGGAAAGCCATAATCAATTTCATATACTGTAATTTTTCTTATTGTTATTTGTTGTTTTCTTTTTCATCTCTAGTCCCTTGAAATATTAAAAATAACCAAAGATATGCACCTAACACCAAGCATGTTGCTTGGCATATACTTGGGATTAAATAAATGTAAGGACTGAATTAATATAGCACATAGGTAGAGACCTAATGAGATGTTAGGTGGAACACTTGTGAAATTGGCAGTCCAGAGAAAATCACAAAATAATCCACTTAAATGACAAAATGACAAAATAATCCACTTAAATGTAATTAAAAGTCTAGCATTCAAATAAATCAGGGATGTGAGAAGAGGCTACAAGAATGATAGAGGTAGAAATAAAAAAGTACTAGGTTTTTTAGTGCATGTTCACTCTTTTGGGCAACCAAAATACTGAGCCCATATCTTTTATTTACGGTAATTAATTAAGCAAGCCAATATGTATTGAATAGTCACCCTGTACTAAGACCTTTCTCTTGAGCTCCAGATTGTACATGTTAATTGCCTCTCTCATGTCTTCATTTGGATGTCTCTCACGCAACTCACAATATGTTCAAAACAGAACTCTTGATTTGCCAACTGCATAACAGTTTTCCCAGCTCTCCCCATGGCAGTAAGTGTATCACCGCGCGTTCAGGGCCACACCATCATCTCTTGGCTAGACTACAGTAGGCTCTTACCTGGTCTCTTTGCTCACCCCTTGCCTTTCTCTAAGTCACTCTCCACACAGTGCCAGAATGTTTTAAAAATAGAAACATACCCCACTTCAAAATAAATGCCCAGCACCAAGCACAGTGCTTGGCACATAGCAAATGCTTGATTAATATTTGTTAAATGAATTTATTAGTGGTTGAATGATGAACCAACTAGACATGTTTTTCTGCCTTCATGAAGCTTTAAATGCTGGAAGTCTATCTCTTTCCATTAATTACTTCTGTCTATATCTGTATCTATATCTATCTATCTATGTATGAAGCAATGAATATAGTTAATCTTTGAACAACATGGGTTTTAACTGTGTGACACCACTAATACATGGATTTTTTTTCCACCTCTGCCACACCTGAGAAAGTAAGAACAACCCTCCTCTTACTCCTTCTCCTCAGCCCACACAACATGAAGATGATAAAGATGAAGACCTTTATGATGATCTACTGCCAGTTAACAAACAGTAAATATATTTTTTCTTCCTTATGATTTCCTTAATAACATTTTCTTTTTCTAGCTTACTTTATTGTAAGAATGCAATATATAATACATATAACATGCAACATACTTGTGAATCAACTGTTTATTTTACTGGTAAGGCTTCTGTTCAACAGTAGGTTATTAGTAGGTAAGTTTTAGGGGAGTCAAAAGTTATATGCTAATTTTTGGCAGCATGGAGGGTCAGTGCCCTTAACTTTTACATTGTTCAAGAGTCAACTGTGTATCCATTAATATTCCAGTAAACATTTCTGGGATTCCCAGGCAACATTTGAGATTATCTTCTAAACAAATGAGATACAAGTAAAATTCTCTCCTGAGCTTGGTCATTTCCTTAGAATTTGCTAAATTTGAAGTTTTATTTTCTGATTACTTAAAATAATAGTTTTGAGTGACGGTTCTAGATGGAGACAAAAGGAACAGGAATAAACCTCCTGCTCCCAACCTCTAACCATGCCGTCATACATATAAGATCATGGCATGTGCAAATAGACATCATTTTGCTTGTTCCTTTCTGATTGAGATACCGCTTCTTTTTTTTTTTCTTGTCTAATTACTCTGGCTAGGACTTCCAGTGCTATGTTAAATAGAAGTAGTGAAAATAGGCATCCTTGCTTTGTTCTCGATCTTAAAGAAAAAACTTCAGTTTTTCACCTTTAAGAAAAAGGAATATGTTGTTAGCCGTGCACTTTTCATATTTGGACTTTGTTACGTTGAGGTAATTTCCTTCTATTCCTAGTTTGTTGAGAGTTTCTCGTGAGGGTGTACTGAATTCTGTAACATGATTTTTTCCTGTATCTATCATGATGATTGTGTGATTTTTTTTTTGAGACAGAGTCTTGCTCTATCGCTAGGCTGGAGTGCAGTGGTGGGATTATAGCTCACTGTAACTTTGAACTCCTAGGCTCAAGTGATTCTCTTGTCTCAGTCTCCTGAGTAGTTAGGATTATAGGCATGTGTCATCATGCCCATTGAAATTTTCTTTTTCTTTGAGACAGGGTCTTGCTCTGTCACCCAGGCTGGAGTGCAGTAGTGCAATCACAGCTCACTGCAGCCTTAAACCTCCAGGCTCAACCCATCCTCCTGCTTCAGCCTCTTGAGTAGCCGGGACATACCAACATATCCGGCTATTTAAAACAAATTTTTTTTTGTAGAGATAGGGTCTTGACAAGTTGCTCAGGCTGGTCCCCAACTCCTGGTCTCAATTGGTCCTCCCACCTCAGTCTCTGAAAGCACTGGGATTACAGGCACGAGCCACCAAGCCTGGCCATTGATTTCTTCTTTGACCCATTGGTTGTTCAAGAAAGTTTTCCTTCTGCTATTAATTTCTAGTTTTATTTCACTGTGGTTGGAAAAGATAGTTGGTATGATTTCAGCCTTCTTAAATTTGTTAAGACTTGTTTAATTAACATATGATCTATACCAGAAAATGTTCCATGTGTGCCAGAGAAGAATGTATATTCTGCACTATTGAAACAGTCTTTTTTTTTAATTCTTCTTTTTGTAACATTTTGGGTGAAATAGTCTTAATATGTCTCTTAGGCCTATATGGTTTATTGTGTTGTTCAAGTCTACTCTTTACTTACTGACTTTCTGTCTGGAGGTTCTATTCATTATTGTAAGTGGTTTATTGAAGTCTCCTACTATTATTATATCACTGTCTATTTCTCCCTTCAGTTTTGTCAATGATTGCTTTATATATTTAGGTGCACTGACATTTGGTGTATACATTATTATAATTGTTATATCTTCTGGGTAAATTGATACTTTTATCATTATATAATGACTTCTTTGTCGCTTGTGTGAGTTTTTGACCTAAAGTTTATTTTGTCTGATGTAACTATAGCCCTCCTGCTATTTTTTAATACCATTCACATAAAATATCTTTTTCCATACCTTCATTTTCAGCCTTTGTGTCCTTAAATCTAAAGCAAGTATTTTGTAGATAGCAGATAGTTGGGTCTTTTTCTTCAACCCATTCAGCAACTGTATGTGTAACTTTTGATTGGAGGCTTTAATCCATTTACATTTAAGGTAATTATTGATAGGGGAGGACAATTTTGCCATTTTGAGAGTTGTTACCTGTTCACCTTTTAGTTGTATTGCCCCCCTTCTCCAAGTTTGCTGTCATCATTTGTTGTTTTTATATGATTTAATTCATGTTTTTCTTTTGTGCAGCTTTGACAGCTATTATGTTTGCTCTTACTATGAGACTTATAGAAAAGATCTTATAGTAATAACAGCCTATTTTCTTCAGATAATTTCAAATGCTCTGTCTTTGGGTTTGCTATTTTTTCTACTTGATCTAGTCTGCTGTTGAAAAATTCTATTGAAATTTTTAGTTCGGTTATTTATTATATTCTTCAGCTCCAAGACTATTGTTTGGTTCTTTTAAAAATTTTTCTATCTCTGCTGAAATTCTCATTTTGTTCATGTAATGTTCTCCTGAGCTCGTTGGGCATCTTTATGATGGTTAGTTTGAATTCTCCATCAGGTAATTCAAATATTACCATTTCATAAGGGTCCATTTTGGAGCTCTGTCTTATTTGTTGGACTATGTTTCTCTGTTACTTCTTCTTCGTTACTCTTTATGTTAGTATCTGTGCAATAGAAAAACATAACTATCTCTCTTAGTCTTCAAAATTGGTCTCATACAGAAGAAGACCCTCAGCAAAGTCTGGTCAGAGATTACAGGGAGCTTCTCAAACCTTCATACTAGTTTCAGCTGACTTTTGTTTTTGAGCATCTCTCAGGCATCTAGAATATGATGGGTCTTGTCAGTAATTTGAGACAGGTTAGATAGAAGCCCAGTTCCTTGGAGAGCCCCCAGAAGAGTTAGAAGGTTGTATGCATGGTCCAATTGTCTCCCACCCAAGTGAGAAGCTGGGATATGGATTTTATTTTCCCGCTTGCTTTGCATTGAGCCTGTTGGAAAAACTGTGGTAAGTGTTTTCATGCTGGTTCAAGATACCGTATTTGTTCTCAAACCATGCCCTCCTAATATCATCACTCTACTCCTCTGTCTTGACTTCTCATCACTGAAACCTATAGTGACAAATGAATAGTAAAAAAAGATGGAAAAAGAAGCTGGAAAAATAACTTAGTAGATATATGCAAGAGATTTTACTATCAAATGGAAAGAAAATAGTTTAATAATACAGTAAAACAAGAGGATTCTCTCTCTCTCTCTCTTTTTGCCACAACGGAAGCAAGGAACAGCAGACACCTTTCCAAATTTATTTTTTACTTCAATTTTTAGCCAAATTATTCACTACTGATTTTCAATCCAATGTTTGGAATTCAAAGAGGTTTGTATGACTTCTATACAACTTTCTCTTTTCCATTAAGCTCTCATAGTCTCTTGAAATCCCATTATCTACTTAGCTAATGTCAACAACTGCCCCAAACTGATCATTAGGTTTGCTGTTTTAGTCTTATTAAGGCTTTAAGTATATAAGGCTTATCTTAATTTTTAAAATGTGTTGGCTCACTAGAAAAGCTACAACCCAAAATGAAATCAGCTACTAAGATAATGACCACACTGGATATATATATTGACATTCTGAGTAAATTTTAATCTGCTACAAACAGTAGATCTTTCTAATTCTCTAAACAATTCTCAAATTTAAAAAACTGGATCAGTAGGGTGATTAGAAACTTCTTGCTATTACTTGATGCATCCATGATAGAGACAGAAGTAAATGAAAGTACTTTGATTTAGCTTGTTTCACTTTCCACATCTTCATCCATGTGGTTATCATAGTTCTGGCCCTGATTAAGTTTGGTACAATTTTGGTAAGTATGCATAGATTATATTTAAATTATAAAGTATATTTTAATAATCTATATTGCCAATGACTAAATGAAGTTTGAAAATAGGATCAGATTCAATATCAAATTGAATAATGTTATAAATATAATTAGAAATAATTGAGTGAGGAGTGATATATGAGCAAAACCGTAGCCATGAAGGTTAATATAGTTTTTCATGTTTAAATGCCTCAAGGAAATAAAACTAACATAAAAGAAGTGAAAGTGAAGTTTTAAATCCGAACAATTAATATTTCTTGAATTATTGTAAGGACTAGAACACTGTAATATAAAAAGATGTGCACCATTCTGCTGATATCACAAGTACATGTGTATAATCATCATACTTCCTGCAGAGACATCTCAATGGTCCTACTGAGATTGTGAGTGAAACCATTAAGTAAATATTCTGAGACTTCTAAAAATATTTTCTATAAGATTTGATAATGCTAATTGCATATTTATACATTGTTGCATCAATTGAATTTAGAAGTATACTTTACCTTTTTATAATTTTCCTTTTAATGATGTGATGCATGTATATATATATATATACACATATCTTGATAAAGTCACTTGAAATATGAATGAATCTTTTAGCTTTAAGTACTAAATTGCACAAATGTTGGGATACTGTCTTCCAAATACATGTGGTAGGTTAGTCTATGAGGAATCTAAAATGTGCAATAAAGCCACTACATCTGTGAGGGTTGACCCAATACAACATTTTAGAAATCATCAGCTTTCTTCAGCTTATTTAGAGAAACAAAGATTAAAAAAAAAGTAATACGTCAAAGATTAAAAAAAGTTTCTATAAAGTCCAAACCATTTGGTGAAATTTTCCTAAAACGTCAAGTGGATATTGACTTTGCTTTGAATACTCATCATGACCCCAAGGATGTTTAGATGGATATGCAGTGGGTGGACTTTTGTGTCAGCTTAAGAATCAGGCACAAAGTGTTCCCATCCCTTGCTCAGGCAATTTGAGCATGCTTCTGGCATTTTTCTGAACTTGTTTTTGTTAATACTAAGATTATAACTCCAACTCAATTTACCGTAGAGCATTTTTTGAATCACCAAATAATTAGTTTGTTGAGTTGATTCTACCAAGTTCTATGTAAAGGTGATATTATTATGTACTCAGTTTATAGCCCTCCAACAGGGTCTTTAAAGGTATAATTAAGTTAAAATGAAGTCATTAGGATGGTCCCTAATCCAGTATAACTGGGATTTTTATAAAAAGAAGAGATTTGGACATAGACAGACAGACATAGACATAGACATAGACATAGACATAGACATAGACATAGACATAGACATAGACATAGACATAGACATAGACATAGACATAGACATAGACATAGACATACATAGAGGGAGGCCATATAAAGGCATGGGAAGACAGCCCTCTGCAAGCCCAGGAGAGAAGTCTCAGAAGAAACCAATACTGCTAACACCCTGATCATGGACTTCTGGCCTCCAGGACTGTGAGAAAATATATTTTGGTTCTTCATTTAAGCCACTGAATCTGTATTACTGTGTTATAGCAGCCCCAGCAAACTAAAACACCACTCAGAAATATTTTGAGAAGGTCTCCTCTGATGCAAAAACACATGAGAATTTTATCCTTCATTTTATCAGAAATCTGTAGATGATCACTCCAACATAAGACACCTTAGGCTTTCTTAGAAAGAAATTTATATATAGTTGACCCTTGAACAATACAGGTTTGAACTTGTAAGGGTTCAAATCCACTTATATGTGAATTTTCTTCTCTCTATACCACTCCTGGGACAGCAAGACCAACCCTTCCTCCTCCCTTTTCCCCTCCTCAGCCTACTCAGCATGAAAATAATGAGGATGAAGACCTTCATAATGATCCACTTCCATTTAAATATATTAATCTTTCTATGATTTTAGAAACATTTTCTTTTTTCTATCTTTATTATAAGAATACAGTATATAATACATATGACATACAAAATGTGTGTTAATCAACTGTTTATGTTAACTGGCAAAGCTTCCAGTCAACAGCAGACTATTAATAGTTACGGTTTGGGAGAGTAAAAGTTACATGCAAATTTTCAACTGTGCAGGAAACCAGCACCCCTAATTCCTGCATTGTTCAAGACTCGTGTGTGTGTGTGTGCGCATGTGCGTATAAATAGTTCCTGACTTGTGATGGACTGACAATTTTTTTTATTTTATGATGGTGCAAAAGTGATATGTGTTTAGAAGGAAATAATACTTCAAATTTTGAATTTTGATCTTTTCCCAGGCTAGCAGTATGTGTTATCTTGTGAAGCTGGGCAGCAGTGAGACAAATGATCAGCAGTGTACTCCACAGTGCATTATATTTAATGAATTGCATGAGCTATTCAATCCTTTATTACAAAGTAGGCTTTGTGTTTGATGATTTTGCCCAACTGTAGGCTAACGTAAGTGTTCTGAGCACATTTAAGGTAGGTTATGTTAAGCCATAATGTTTGGTAGGTTAGGTATAATACTGAATGCATTTTCTACCTAACAATATTTTCAGCTTACATTGGGTTTATCAAGATGTAACCCCATTTTAAGCTGAGAAGTATCTCTCTCTATATATATTTCAGGTAGGTTAGGTTAAGCCATAATGTTTGGTAAGTTACGTATACCGAATGCATTTTCTACCTAACAACATTTTCAGTGTATGTTGGGTTTATCAAGATGTAACCCCATTGTAAGCTGAGAAGCATCTCTCTCTATATATGTAAAGATAACAAAATACCCTAATGAGAAATAAGACAATGGCACACCAAAACAGAAGCAGTAACTATAGCAAAGAAGGGTATTTTTTAAAGCTTTCAGAATTTAGCAATAAATCATAGCTTATGGAGAAGATAATAATGATGATATAGAAATATCTAGAGATACCATAGAAACCATAATCAATTCTCTTGATTTTGGTTTAGAATATAGAACTTCTAGAAAGAGTGCTACAATATTATCCCCATTTTTAAATGGTGACATAGGCTGCCCAGGTATATGTGATTTAGGGATACTGATAATAATAGCAATATTTTACAATAACAAAATAATAAGCATTTAATGAATGCTTGCTATGTGCCAAGATCTATACTAAAGTCTCACATGGTTTATCACCTTTCCTGCTCACAACAGCCCTATGAATGAGGTAATACTAGAAATCAAGTTCAGAGACACTGCTGATAACCAATAGATTCAGAGAACTGCTATGTACTACATGAATTGGAGCTGTTGGGCTGTTATAAAATCAAGTTTTTGAAAAGGCAGCTTGAATCCTTTGCCATCACAATGTCTACGGATAGTGAAAACCTTACCTGATGGCATTTCTAGATTGAAGGCATCCATAAGTTTTGACAATAGTTCTTGCAGTTCCTCTTCCTCCAGCTCATCCTTTCTCTCCTCGATGTTACCTGCCTCTTGCCTTTCCACAGTTGCAAGAGCAGGACTGCTCGTTTCGCCAGGAGCCTTTTTGGGGGTATCCTGCTTCAGTCCCTCCTGACAACTGGGTAGGGCACTAATGACTTTCTTCGGCATTTTTTGTGTTTGACTTTGTGCTCTGGTGCTGTGCAATGCGGTCTCTGGTAATTGTGGGTTTCTCAGAGCATGCTCTGCATTTGTGTGACTTCTGTGACCTCTGCCAACCTCCTCAGGGTTAGGAAGAGGGTCCCATCTTGAACCATCTTCACTGGCATTCTTGATCTGCAAATAATCCCCTCCCTTTGGAACCCTCTCAGTTGGAGAATGGTCAACCTTGGTCTCCACATTTTGAAAGGAAGAAGATGAAGAACGGGGTGGCTGCAACCTTGCCTGGGATTATAGGTAAAGAAAACTTTATGAAGAAATTAACATTTATCTGACCTTTTCATAAATGCATTATATTTCAACATTCCAACAGAGCATTCTAATACAAGACTTTTCTTTCTCCTCTGTAAATGTATTATCATTACTATTAATTTTACTTTATGCTGCTAATTCTATGTCAACCTAAAACTCTCTACAAGAGTTGGAACAGCTCAAGTTCTAAAATAACAGAGGGAATAATTACAAGAAATTTAGGAAAATTCTAGGTTCTAAAAAGCCCAGGTTCTAAAAATATCATAGGGAATTTCTGAAAACATAAGCATATATTGAATTGACAGATAAAAATTATTACAATAAAGCGTGCTTATAATAATCTTCCTGGTAGGTAAGTTGTGAGGGGCTTCACGGTAAGCCAAAGGCATAAAATTTAGGGATGTGCTCCTTGTGAAGCACTGTTCTCAATGTGTGGCCCGCAGACCCTAGAAGATCCCCAAGAGTCTTCTAGGAGTTTGTGAAGTCAAAATTATATTCATAAAGATACTCAGATAACATTTGTTTATTGTATTGACATGTGCACTGATGACGCCAAATCAGTAAGCAAAGCTGTTGGTGCTTTAGCATGAATCAAGACAGCAATACCAAACAGTCCTAATTATCAGGCTATTCTTCACCCTCATACACTAGCAGTGACAAAAAAAAAGCCAGTTCTGCTTAACAACACCTTTGATGGAATAGAAAAATTTCTTAGTTTTAAAAATATTCACAAGTCTTTTAAGTATTTTGTGTGATAACGTGTGAAATGTGCATAAGACACTTCTAATGTGTACTGAAATAAAAGAGTTGCCTCATGTGTCAAAGAAAGACTGATAGACTATGGTTATTCCGACTTGGGTATTTGTCAGTTTCTCAGAAATGAACAAAGCAAGAATGTCACTGCAAGGAAAACAATGAACAGTATTTGCTGTCAGTTATAATAGTTAAGGCTGGGTGCAGTGGCTAATGTCTGTAATCCCAGCACTTTGGGAGGCTGAGATGGGAGGATTGCTTGTGGCCGGGAGTTCAAGACCAGTCTGGACAGCATAGTGAAACCCTCCTTGCTACTAAAAATTTAAAAATTAGCTTGGTGTGCTGGCATGAGCCTGAGATCTTAGCTAGCCATGAGGCTGAGGTGGGAGGATTGCCTGAGCCCCAGGAGTTCAAGGCTGCAGTGACCTATGATCCTGCCGCTGTGCTCCAGCCTGGGTGACAAAGCAAGACCCTGTCTAAAATACATATTTACATACATAAAAAAGCAGGCTTTCAAGCAAAAATTAGAATTTTGGAAAACTTGCATCTACCACCATGAGCTTGTTAGCTTTTCAATTCTTCAACAATTTTTAATGAGATTAGTAGTGACATTAATGAATGTGAATTTTTTTATCCTGTTTAATAAAATGAATGAGCATTAGGACATTCAGCATAGCTTGATGAACCTATATTTTCCAAATGATCAATATATAATGTTACACATTCATGCATGCCTAGGTAACCCATTCAAAGACCACATAAGAACACTGAATATTAATGAAACAGTGTGACATAAATATGGTTTCAGATTCCATATTGAAACTATCCTTTAAGAAGCTGTCCTCTATCATGTTTTGGGCTACTATAAAAGAGAAGCATCTCTCAGTATCTGAAAGGCTATTAATATACTTCTGTCTTTTTCAACTGCAAATCTGTGTTAGGCCTGATTTCTTCAGATACTTCAACCAAAACACATTGCAGCAGATCAATTGCTGAAGTGGTTACAAAAATTTAGCTGTCTTTTATTAAGCCAGGTATTTAAAGAGATTTGTGAAAAATGTAAAGCAATGCCACTCTCCTAAGGTTTTTAGAAAAACATATTGTTTAAAAATGTTATCTGTATATTTAATGGGCTTATTAGTTCTATGTTTTAGATAGGGAATACATTTTAACTTCTCAGTTTTAATTTGCATTAACTTTGTTACTTATTTCACTTATTGAACAATTCTGTTTTAATCTCATTCACTTTGTTATTTCTTTAATTTTATTATTAATTTAATTTTAATTAATTAATTTTCATTTTGTTTCTGTGGTTATATTTATAACAATAGATATAGATACAAATAGATGTAACCACAGAACCAAAATCCCCTCAAATATTTTTAAGAATGTACAAAGGATCCTGAGACCAAAAGGTTAAAAAACTGATGCTGTAAAGAATCAGTTTGCCCCAAAGTCTATTGTTTCCAAATGGTACAGATCTTGCTGTCTTTCAATGACACTACCTTCATGGAGGAATAGGATATAGCTTGGAGGATGGAAGTGGGAGGTCAGGGTATGGAGAGAGGACTCAAGGGAACAGGCTGATCAAGGTAAGGTGGGAAGCTCCTCTCTTGGCTGAAGGACTCAAGGTTAGACTTCCAGGTGGTCCAGATGGCCAGTGCCTCTCACATTTTATACCTGTAGGTCCCGTCTTATCTGCTGTAGCTTGGTCCGCAGACTATCCTGGTTGGTTTTGAGTCTGTGAATCTTTGTTTCAAATCGGCAACTTCTTTCTTCCTGAGAGATGTATATAGCTTGCAACTGGTCTTTGTATTGGTTTAATTGTTTTTTAAGAAGCCTGTAAAAAGAACAGATTTGAGTGGTTTGGAAGGGCAAGGTGCCAACACACCAATTAGAGACCTGGTAAGATGTATTTCAGTCTTCCTTGTGGGAAAAGATGCTGGAAAACCCTGTGCCTCGACTGTTTTTGGTTTTGTTTTGAGATGGAGCCTTGCTCTGTCACCCAGGCTAGAGAGTGCAGTGGCATGATATCGGCTCACTGCAACCTCTGCCTCTTGGGTTCAAGTGATTTTTCTGCCTCAGTCTCCTAAGTAGCTGGGATTACAGAGTCACCATGTCCGGCTATTGGAAAACCCTGTGCTCATCTGTTATCTCACATTGATCAATACTGTTGACACTTTGTTTACCATGTGCAGCTGCCTTTGTGTATATTATGGATACAATTCCACTAAGCATTCCACTGGCTTTAGAAGTACTTCAGAAAACTTGCCAGGCATATTACAGGTTACTTTTGACAGCTTGCCTCTACCAGCTACTTAAATAGGAATATTGACTTTGTACATTATCCTTTGTCTAGAAATACTCTATTCAGAATGATAGTACAACTGTCATGGCTGACCAGGAACACAGGGAGGAAGAATATTGCAACTGATGGATTGTGTGTCTGCTTTGGCTTCTCTTTCTGTCAAGTTGTTCATTGGTTTAAGAATGAACCGAGAAGCTGGGTGCATTCATTCATGGGTGTGTGTGTGTGTGTGTGTGTGTGTGTGTAATCCCAGTGCTTTAGGAGGCCAAGTTGGGGTATCCCTTGAGGCCAGGAAACTGAGAGCAGCTTTACCCCATAAACACACACACACACACACACACACACACATTAGCTGAGTGTGGTGGCACCTGTAGTCACAGATATTTGGAAAGCTGAGGTAGGAGGATTACTGGAGCCCAGGAGTTAGAGGTTACAGAGAGATATAACTGCACCACCACTCTCCAGCCTGGCTGACAGAGCGAGACCCTGTCTCTAAAAAAAAACATGAACCAAGTAGTCGGGGTAATCAGGGCAATTCTTTAAAACAAAAGGTAGGCTATGTTGCTCTTCTGCTCAGAACCCTCCAGGGGTTCCCCTCCTCATTTAGAGTAAAAGGAAGTCCTTATAGAGGTGGCCAAGACCCACAAAGATGGCACAGACCCCCCTTCCGTCTCTGACCTCATCTCTTGCTTTCCAGCTTATTCATTGCCCTGTTCCCATATGGAGCTTCAGGCTCCTCTTTGAATACCCCAGGCGTGTTCCCCGCTTAGAGTCTGCTCTTCAACTCCCTCCGCCTGGACACACTTTCCTCCCCAGGTCATTGCTCAGTTTTCCCCGTCACCTCCTTCAAGTCTTTGTTCACAAGGTGCCTTTTCAGAAGTGCCCTTCTCTGACTGCCCTACTTGAATCCACAAATGACAACCCCAACCTCTCCTCCAGCATGGCCAAACTCTTCCCTTCTTTATTTGTCTCTGTGGCTTTTCACCATGTCTACAGAGCCTGCAGAGTCCAGCCTACAAACTTCTAGACAGCCATGCACTGTGACAGAATACATGCTTTACTTACTATTTTACTTACATATCACATACTCTATTCCTTACTTAACTGCTTATTGTCTCTTTATTTTGGCAATTTTGCATGTATGTGTCTTGCCATATCTTCTGGGTGAGTCATAAAATAGTTCCTATTGTATAGTAGGTTTACAACTAAAATTGTCTAAATAAAGTAATTTTATTTGATCACTCGTGTTAGAATATTTGTGGAATTTTGTGGAAATTGGCTATCTGGTATGAAATGCAACATTTCTCTGATTAGAACCTGTGAAATTCCTAACTACATAGAGCTCGGGGAGGTCTTGAAATTAAGTTGGGCTCCTATGCAAAGCAGGCATCTCTGAGCGATAGCCCTCTAACTTCGAAGACAGTCATACTCGGGTGAAACGGGAGTCTGACTCCAAAATCCTTGCTAGTAATTGGAGTTTCAGGTGTATCTTTCTGATGGGTTTCTCAGAAAGCAGTCAGCCCAGGGATTTTACACAGCCAACAACAAAGAAGTAATCTCAGTCAGCCTGTCTAGACAGTGTTCTCTGGACCTCATGTGTTGGGTTCGTTATGCCCGCTAACAAGAGGTGTCAGGCTCTCTCTTTTCCCCATGTTGTCCACCATGCTTGACTGCTTCCTTCTCTCTGGCCTGTCCACCAGGCCTGGACAACTAGATGACATGCATCCCTATCCTTCCACAATCCAGGTGAAAGAAGGTAGACCTCTATCAGAAATCCAGTTTTTTTCTTCTTCTGCATCTTTTTTTTTGAGATGGTGTCTCACTCTATCACCCAGGCTGGAGTGAAGTGGCAGGATCTCAGCTCACTGTAACCTCCACCTTCCGGGTTCAAGCAATTCTCTGCCTCAGTCTCTAGAGTAGCTGGTATTACAGGCATCTGCCACCACACCCAGTTAATTTTTTTGTATTTTTAGTAGAGACGGGTTTCACCATCTTGGCCAGGCTGATCTTGAACTCCTGACCTCGTGATCCACCTGCCTCGACCTCCCAAAGTGCTGGGATTGCAGGTGTCAGCCACTGCACCTGGCATCTTCTGTGTCCTTTTTAAAGAAGAGCTGCTTACTGGTTGTTTCTGGTAAATACAGTTCACCTGGTGCCAATATTTTCAGCAACTGGGAGCCCAGGACTTTCCAGGCAATCATCCACTTACAACAAACAGTTCAGGTTATCCAAGAAATAATTCCTTTTAAACGACCTGAAATCTGCCTTTCTAAACTTTTATATCTTTATATGTATTTCTGCTTTCTGGTAGGGTCTAAACAGCTTGAATCTCTATAATAAGTATTCAAATGGAACATAAATACTCCCTAGGCAAGCTAATCATGCCCAGAGCAGTGAATGTTACTTAATTTGACGATTACTGACATGGTTTGGCTATGTTCCCACCTAAATTTCATCTTGAATTGCAATCCCCATAATCCCCATGTGTCAAGGGCAGGACCAGGTGGAGGTAATTGGATCATATAGGTGGTTCCCCCATGCTGTTCTCACGAGAGTGAGTGAGTCTCACGAGACCTGACGGTTTTATAAGCATTTGGCATTTCCCCTGCTTACACTCACTCCGTCCTGCCTCCCTGTGAAGAAGGTGCCTGCGTTTCCTTTGCCTTCCACCATGATTGTAAGTTTCCTGGCCTCCCCAGCAATGTGGAACTGTGAGTCAATTAAACCTCTTTGCTTTCTAAATTACCCAGTCTCCGGTATTTCTTCATAGCAGTGTAAGATCAAATTAGTAAATTACCTAGCACAGTGTAGATTAATAATAGATAACTAGTAATTGAACAGTACTCTTTCTGTTAATATGCCTGAGACTGTTGATTTTTAAATAATCAGTGTCATAATTGGCTATCACTGAACTTGCAATTGATGACCTTACATATCACAGGTCTTTTTCACGCTACTTGTGCACATGGGCCTGAAATTGTGGGACTTTCCTTTAATCCCTCAAAATCAAGTCTTTACTAACTGCCTCACTGTCCCAGCCTATTAAATCTCAGTGATCCAAGATTGTAATTCAGTTTATTACCTAGGGATTTTGGCATCATGTTACACAACACATTTGAGAATCATGCTGTCTACAGTTTCATCCAAATTACTGATAAAAATAATGGTGCAGACAGGAACAAAGATGTAACTTCATGTTACATTTCATTCAATAATCAGCCTTATACTCTGGTACACTCTGTAGTGATAAATAATAGGATACCAATGGTAGAAATAGATTATATCAAAGGCCATACTTAGTTTAAAAGAATTCATTGTATATGATTATTTTAAGAATTACATTTTTAAAAACTAAATTTTAAAATTTGCTTTATGTTTCTACATTTTCAATTTTAATATAGCCTTTCTATTGCTTTACTACGTTAAAAATGTTTTCTAAATTATTTTATTCCATGAAAAAGATTAAAATTACCTTTAAGATTTAAATTATTTAGATATTTTAAAAGTGTTTACTGAACTCCTTTTCATGAGTTATCACAGAATTTAGAAAATATTTTATGTCTTCTGTACAGTTGGATTAGGAATCATATCTCATAATACATATATGCATAGAATTGCTAGTTTATGGGTTGTCTGCTGAATATTAAGTATTGTGCCTGAAAACAAAGGTCTTCCCTCAGGGGAAACTTCTTCTGGGGAGCCAGGAATTCTGTCTTCTAAAGGAATAACAGCGGGAAGATAGGAGGTCAAGAAATGTTAAGTTCCTTGAGACACACTAAGATGATAGACAGTTTCCATTCGGCTAATAAACCTAGCAGAAAGTTAGATGCTGTTGGATACCAAGCACTGATTTCTTTAGAAGTAGGTAAAGCACACATACATAACACAAGATACACACAAAGAATCAGTACTTCACTAAAAGTGCTTAACCAAATTCCAAGGAATAAAATCAGGCACTCAAAAGTCAAAACGTATTTAGCCTGGTGATTTTTGTTATGCTTAACTACTCAAATAGAACTGAAGCTCTCTTTTACTTTCATATTGGAGTCACAGGATTTCTTGGCTTAAAAATTTCTCCCAAATTAAAAAAAATGGTAACATTTTTGTAGAAAATTTTTCTATAAAAGCAAAGGAAATGCTTTGGATTTCTCTCTGCTATTGGTATTTGCACGTACTCATGTGGCTCCTACCTTCTTTCCCTATGGAGAGCATTAATGGATTCACGAGTCCTCCACAGTTCATTCCTAGTGCTGACCATGGTCTAGAGAAGGAAGAAATAAAAAAATAAGTTTTTGGTTTGAATTTAACCCACATTCCTAAATCTGATATAAGAACATGATAATTATGTTTTTCAAATAAATTCAGTCTATTTCATTAAGTGGCTGCTATTTGGGTTTACATTTATGTATGATGATGCAAATGTTTATATGCTCAAAGTACACCTGCATATCTAATTTCACAAAAGAAATTAAAACAGTTTTAGTTTTTAGAAATAAAGTCACAACAGTATTTTGCTGAAGTTAGTTGCTACCCTGAATGTCTTCTTCCCATAGGCATCTACTAGAAGCAGTTGGGTCACTTTCTTGCTTACAGTCTCTTCTGTCCTCTACCTTTGACTTTCCCTTTCTTGTCTTTCCTTTGCTTGCTACCTGGGTGTGCACTAGAGTCATCATTTCTCTTCAAATTCACCATCTTTTGAATGAATAATGGTCAACTTGGTTGTCACTTAGGATTTCCTCACCAAACCTTGTCTCTTACATCACATTCTGCTCCCTGAACTGCAGCCCCAGGGCAAGATTTGACCTGATCCAGTCCGGCCCATGCTCCTGGGGCATCATGTTCCAGCCCTTGGCTCCCACATGTCTGCATGAAAGATTAGATTTCATTACACTCCGTTTATAAACAGCTGTGGCTACAATCTGCAGCCTTCTCCCATCCCTGCAAATGACCTGAAGAGGGGCTGGCCGTTTTAGGAACATTGTTCCACAGGAACAGCCTGAAAGAGGAAAAGGGCAGTAGCAGGAAGAAGAAACTGAGCTACGTACAGACTTAGCCATGTTCTCTGGTTGGTGTGTGTCCTTTGCAGCCCCTTTGAGTGAACTGTGCCATTGCCTCTTCATTCAAATACTTAAACAGCTTCCACATGCACAGTATAGTCTTTGAATTGTAAACTTTATATTATTTTTAAAAATAATTACAATTTAAACAATAATTGCAGAATATCATGGCTTTGCAAAATGACTGTACTCTCATAAGCTATTTTGACCTCTATTCATTCTCTACATATGGTGGAGATAGAGTAGGAAAGGTGTGTACATATGCTATACACTTATTTATGTCTTTGAACACTTAGGGAGAACAACGAAAAACCTTAAAATTCTCAAACAAAATGATTCAGTGATTTAATGTATATTATTCTTATGAAGAAAATCTTTAAAAGAATGTCTTGCACCAATATTATGTGGTACAAATTTTTCTGCAACTGAGATGCATTTCAGGTTAGTGCAAATAGGCTTACCGTGGTATATCCACAGAATCGATATTATGGTTTATTTAGTCATGAAAGGATACACTGTTTCCAATTTTTTTAAATTAAAAGCAGTGCTGCAGTAAACATAGCTGTACATGCCTCCTTGTGAACATGTGCAGGTTTCTTACGTTTTAAGTTTAATAGACACTATCCTTTGCCCTCTTTAGGCAAGTGCACACTTGAAAATGCGTGGAAAAAGATCTGTAAAGATATGCTTCAAACAGGTTATCTCTGGGGAATTAGGGACTGGCCCTGGGTTGAGAATTATGGTTGAAAGAACCTTAGATTCATCTATAATATCTTAATTTCTTATGCGTCAAACAGATTCATGTCTTATTTGTATGAAGTGTGTTTTTTAATAAAAAATAGGTTATATACATAAGATAGGACGTAGCAACTTTAAAAATAAAAAAGAGGTGAGAGGGAAGTATAAGAAAAGTAAAATAAAGGAGCACAACAAAAACAGCAAAAGCACGTTTAAATTTCTTCCCTCAGAACAAATGGATGTTACAGTGGAAAAAAACCCTACATTGTGAATATGTTTTTCCGTCCTCTTTTGTTTGAAGCAGGAAGCAGAGTAGCTCTTTATTTGTCCTCATACATTGGTTCAGCTCTCTGTCACACACTAGCATTATGCCTGTGTCTTGGCAGGTGTCCCGTGAGGGATGTTTCCAGGTGTCCCAGTCTATATGTGTTTGTGAATAAAATGCAGACAGGCCTGAGAAAACATCATACACAGGTGGCTGCAGAGACCTCTTGTCATGGGGTGGTCACAAGACTTACTCTCTACTCACACTTTTTTTTTTCTTGAGACAGAGTCTCACTCTGTCACCAAGGTAGAGTGCAATGGCATGATCTCAGCTCACTGCAACCTCCACCTCCCAGGTTCAAGCAATTCTTCTGTCTCAACCTCCCAAGTAGCTGGGACTACAGGCACTTGCCATCGCACCCAGCTAATTTTTGTATTTTTAGTAGAGATGGGGTTTCACTATGTTGGCCAGGCTGGTCTCAAACTCCTGACCTTGTGATCCACCTGCCTTGGGTTTCCAAAGTGCTGGGATTACAGGCGAGAGCCACCATGCCCAGCCTCCACTCATACTTCTACCCAGAACAACTGCAATACGGGAACTCTAGTTTTTCTTTGATGACTATTACAGATGGTCACATTCTGAAGCCCTTTCTTAAGCTCAGACTACTGATTATGATTGCTGGAAAGTGTACAAGTGGAGTTACACATGTGAGGGCAAATAAGCAGCTGATTGAAAACATGGTAAAGTATTTGCAGAATGTATACTCAAAGAAAGATAGCATTTATAATCCCTTTATGAAAAAACTTCACTGGGATTTTTAAAGTTCTTTCCTTCATCTTACTTTCCTTTTTTAAAAAAAAACTTGTATTTTGAGTTCAGGGGTACATGTGCAGGATGTGCAAGTTTGTTACATGGGTAAATGTGTGTCATGGGGGTTTGCTGTACAGATTATTTCATCATCCAGGTATGAAGCTTAGTATCCATTAGTTATTTTTCCTGATCTTCTCCCTCCTCCCACACTCCATCCTCTGCCCTCCAGTAGGCCTCAGTGTGTGTTGTTCCCTCTGTGTGACATGTGTTCTCATCATTTAGCTCCCACTTATAAGTAAGAATCTTTCTTTCACCTCCCTCTCTCACCTCTTCCCTTTTAAAATTTCTCAACATTTTACTTACACATGCATGCATTGGTTCTCCTATTTTTTAAATAACATAAGATTTTATAATACTGAGTTGGCAAGTTAAGGCCCTATGGGCAGAAGGAAGCCTTATCTGTAAGTTACAATCAGAAGTCTTGGCAGAGACTTTGTATGGACACAGGAGTAGTTTAAAGTTGTCAGGGTTGAATGCAACCTTTTTTTTTTTTTTTTTTTTGAGATGGAGTTTCACTCTTGTTGCCCAGGCTGGAGTGCAATGGCACTATCTTAGCTCATTGCTACCTCTGCCTACCAGGTTCAAGCAATTCTCCTGCCTCAGCCCCCTGAATATCTGGGATTACAGGCATGCGCCACCACACCCAGCTACTTTTTTGTATTTTTAGTAGAAACGGGGTTTTGCCATGTTAGCCAGGCTGGTCTTGAACTCCTAACCTCAGGTTATCTGTCTGCCTCGGCTTCCCAAAGTGCTGGGATTACAGGTGTGAGCCACTGCGCCAGGCCAGAATACAACCTATCCTAGAAATGGTTCCCTCAAAGCTGAACTTTGCCTGAACAGGGAGGGGAATGTCACACACCAGGGCCTGTCAGGGGTTGGGGGCAAGGGGAAGAAGAACATTAGGACAAATGCATGCAGGGCTTAAACCCTAGATGACAGGTTGATAGGTGCAGCAAACCACCATGGCACATGTAGAGCTGCATGTTCAACACCTGTATCCCAGAACTTAAAATTAAATTAAGAAAAAGATTAATTATGTTATAATAGCTAATATGTAAAAATATAAAAATAAAAAGGGAGAAAATGGTTAAAAAGAATAATTATGTTATAATAGCTAATATGTAAAAATATAAAAATAAAAAGGGAGAAAATGGTTAATAGGTATCAAGTTTTAGTTATGCAAGATAAAGTTCTGGAGATCTACTAAACAGTAGTGCCTATAGTTAACAACACTGTATACTCTATACTTAACATTTGCTCAGAGATTAGATCTTGTAGTGTTCTCACCACACATACAAATTAATTATAATAATAATAAAGGGAGGAAACATTAGGAGGTGATGGATATGTTTATGGCCTCAATGGTGATGGTTTCCCACATGTATATTTATCCCCAAACTTATCAAGTTGTATACATTAAATATATACAGCTTTCCTTTTCTTAAAAAAAAAAACTTGATTAAATGGCATTTATGTATTTATTTATTAAGACAGGGACTCACTCTGTCACCCAGGCTGGAGTTGGGGCGTGATTTAGGCTCACTGCAGCCTCTGCCTCTTGGAGTCAAGTGATTCTCCTGCCTCAGCTTCCAGAGTAGCTGGGATTATAGGGGTGTGCCACCATGCCCAGCTAAGTTTTTGTATTTTTAGTAGAAATGGGTTTTCACCACATTGGTCAGGCTGGTCTCAAACTCCTGAACTCAACTGATCTACCCACCTTGGCCTCCCAAAGTGCTAGGATTACAGGTGAGCCACTATACCTGAGCATGTACATCTTTTTACATGCAAATTGTATCTCAGTAAAGTAGCTAACAAAATAAAATAAAAGAGAAAACTTGTTTTATGTTAACAGGTATCAGAAAGCTAGAATAATTCAAATAATGCTGTTCTTACATAAAAGTAAAATGAAAAGCAACTGAGCTTAACAGATAGCAGTAAAACACATTCTAAAATGATAAAAAATTTTTGGTATATACTACAGGAACCATCACAGAAATTAAAAAAGAAAAGATTTATTCAAGTAAAAAGAAATAGGCGACTCCCTTATCTTACCTCTTATTATGCATCAAAATAAAAACCCGATAGATTTAACAGCTATGTGTCAACATAATCAAATCATGTTAAAATAAATAGAGCTAGAGTCATTTGATTTCTTCACGAAGAAATTTTTCCCAGCATGAAACTATGTAAGAAATTACAAAGAAAAAGACTGATAACATTTTTAGGCTGGGTGCAGTGGCTCACACCTCTAATCCCAGCACTTTGGGAGGTTGAGGCAAGCAGATTACAAAAGGTCAGAGGTTCAAGACCAGCCTGGCCAAATGGTGAAACCCCATCTCTACTAAAAATACAAAAATTAGCTGGGTGTGGTGGCATGCACCTGTAATCCCACCTACTCTGAAGGCTGAGGCAGGAGAATCACTTGAACCCCAGGGGGCAGAGGTTGCAGTGAGCTGCAACTCCAGCCTGCATTCCAGCCTGGGCGACAGAGTGAGACTCGGTCTCAAAAAGAAAAAAAAGACTAACGTTTTTATTAAAATTGAAAATGTGTATGTAGGAAGTCATATTATCAGTAAGTCAATAAGGCTAAAAGGAAGTAACTAGGAAGAAAGATTTCCCTAGCCAAAATATAAAATGTTTAAATACATTGGTAATTCAAACTGACTCATCAGTAAAAATGGCAACAGGTGCGGACAGAAGAAAAAAATACAGTTGTCTTGTACACAAGGTGGGGAAAACTTTCATTTCACTCTGATTCAGAAAAATGCAAATTAAAACAAATTAAATATATTCTGGTGATCAAATTATCAAAAATTAAAAGAAGGTAAAAGTCAATATTAGCAAGGATCTCATGAAAAAGTTGTTAGGTTCACTAGAAGCATAACTTGGTATACCTTTCTAAACAGCAATTTTGCAATAAGCATGAAGAGCCTTAAAAATGTTCCTGCGACGGGGCGCGGCGGCTCACGCCTGTAATCCCAGGACTTTGGGAGGCTGAGGCGGGTGGACCATGAGGTCAAGAGATCGAGACCATCCTGACCAACATGGTGAAACCCTGTCTCTATTAAAAATACAAAAATTAGCCGGGCATTTGGCATGCACCTGCAGAATCAGCTACTTGGGAGGCTGAGGCAGAAGAATAGCTTGAAACCGGGAGGCAGAGGTTGCAGTGAGCCGAGACTGTGCCACTGCGCTCCAGCCTGGCAACAGAGCAAGACTCCGTCTCAAAACAGAAAAAACAAAAACAAAAATTAGCCGGGTGTGGTGGCGGGTGCCTGTAATCCCAGCTGCTCAGGAGGCTGAGGCAGGACAATCACTTGAAAATGGAAGATGGAGGTTGCAGTGAGCCGAGATCGCCACTACACTTCAGCCTATGCAAAACAGCAAAACTCTGTCTCAAAAATAAAAAAAAAGGTTCGTGGTTTTCATTCTTGTGATTCATTGTAGAAATGTATCCTAAGGAAATAATTGGAATCTGTGTACAAAGAACAATATATAAGAATTTTAATAGTAAACTTTTAAATTGTAGCAAAAATTAAAAATAATCCAAATATAAACAGAGGAATTAAATCATGTTATGCTTATTTAAATAGAAATTATATAACCATTAAGATGTTTTTTGAAGAATTATGACAATGGAAAATAGTCATGACTGTAGAGAACTTTATGAGTAAAGTTTACAGTATAAACTAATTTTGAAATGTTTACAGGAAAAGAAGTATGCCAAAGTATTGACAGCGGCATTATAAACGATTATTTGCAATTTTAATTTTGTTCTTCATTCTCTTTTGACTTTTTGAAATTTTCTATAATAAATATGTTGCACTTTGTGATTTGAGATAAAACATTATTTTAAAAAATAAGGTTTTAGTTTTGTTTTTTGTTTTTTGTTTTTGTCATGTGAACATCTTAAATAGATTCCGTGGCTCACACCTGTAATCTCAGCACTTTGGGAGGCTGAGTCAGGAGTTTGAGATCGGACTGGCCGACATGGTGAAACTCCATCTCTACTAAAAACACAAAAATTAGCTGGGCATGGTGGCAGGTGCCTCCTGTAATCACAGCCACTCGGGAGGCTGAGGCAGGAGAATTGCTTGAACCTGGGAGGTGGAGGTTTCAGTGAGCAGAGATCTCACCACCACACTCCAGCCTGAGCGACAGAGTGTGACTCCGTCTCAAAAAAAATTCCCCAAACTAAGGAATGGTTCACTGAACCTCACTACAAAATGATCCAGATTATTTGTGCTTTAGCAGCAGTTCCTTTCCGTTTTGGACTCACCTGGGAATGAGGGTTGCTGTCCTCAGTTTGTTGACCCTGAGATATTCTTTCAGGTACAGGTGTAGACTTGGAGGCCCCTGTGGCTGCTGTTTCTATTGGTCCAGTTGGCCTTACATCCCCTGTTCCTTTAGAACTCTTGTACCCAAGGGAGACCCTATTACAGAGTTTTATAAGAAAGTTGTAGCAACTTTTGATTATCAGGTATGACACTGATGAAAGCCTTTTTAGAAAATGTAAATCAGACATTGAAGTCTTTACCCATCCACCCCACAATAACAATAAAGTAGGTCAACTTTACTCTGTGTGTGTGTTTTTACTTTTTTTCAGAAAATTTCATTGACAGGGGGTCAAGTAGCCAATAATAGAAATAAAAATTCCATTTTCCCTTCTCCTTGACAATTTAGACATGAGAAGGCAAAGAAATTCAGGGGTTATGGCAGAAAATCCCCTAGGTCATCTTATCGAGGTTATCTTATCCAGACGTTAGGGGTAATAAGTGCAGATACATGTTTAACACATCAAATCTGAAAGAACATAGAATGTATCGGATTAGTTTAAGGTTAGACATATTGTATTTTATACAATTCCATTTTGTTTCATTCCTTGATTCAAAAACGATATTTAAACATCTTGTAATCTCCAGTTATGGCAAATATAAAACAATAAGAAAGCAGAGAGCTCCCGATCTCAGAGAATTCACATCTAAACAACAGACATATACAATTGTTTTCAATATAAAATTATGCTTTCTATAAGACACAATGAGAACGCAAGGAAAGATATGATTAATACTTAATTACATCAGAGGTGGCCATTTAGGGGTAGAAACATAGGGTGACCCATAATTTCTTTGTACCCTTCTGAATGATACATTCTATTCCTACTCCATTTGAGATCATTTTAATATCTTGATATTGTTCTTCTCTGTCTTCACTTGCTCAGGATGCCGTAACAAATAGACTGGGCAGCATAAACAACTGGCATTTATATTCTCACAGTTCTAAATGCTGAAAGTCTGAGATCAGAGTGTCAGCATGGTTGGTCATACACTGTGTTAGTCAATTTTCATACTGCTATGAAGAAATACCTGAGACTGGGTAGTTTATAAAGAAAAGAGGTTTAATGGATTCACAGTTCCACATGGCTGGGGAGGCCTCACAATCATGGCAGAAGGCAGCAGAGGAGCAAAAACATGTCTTACATGGCAGCAGGCAAGAGAGTGTGTGCAGGGGAATTGCCCTTTATAAAACCATCAGATCTCATAAGACTTACTATCATGAGAACAGTATGGGAGAATCCTGCCCCCATCATTCAGTTGCCTCCCACTGGGTCCCTCCCACAACACATGGGGAGCTATAATTCAAGATGAGATTTGGGTGAGGACTTCACCAAACCATATCATAAATACACCATTTTCTGTACTCAGATATTTACAAACATCAATATGCCTTTTAAATTTATTTTTTAAAAAACAAGGAAATCATTCCACACACATTATTCTGCTACTTGCTTTCTTCTCTGATGCATGATGGTGAATTCCTTCTAGTATAGTGGATAGCAGCTAAAACTTGTTCTTTTAAGTGGATTCATTATGTTCTGCAGAATGTTCATAATCATACATATTCCACCACTTTTCTACAAGGGGACATTTAGGTTGTTTCTGGCTTACTGTCCTGTACTCCAAGGGCCAAATCTTGCATATATTTCAATATCTAGTAGATCCACTCTTCTAAAGTCAATCCCTCCACATGTGTATCCCACCCCCTCTTTGCTGAATGACATTGCTCCAATAATACTCTGCTCTTGCTCCAGATCATCAATTTTTCTATGAACTCATTGCCTCAAACATGCTATTACTTTCCTAGATGACTGGATAACAAAAATGTGGTATATATACACAAAGGAATACTGTTCAGCAATAAAAAAGAATGAAATAATATATTTTGCATCAAGATAGATGGAACTGGAGGCCATTAAGTGAAACAACTCAGACACGGAAAGTCAAATACCACATGTTCTCCCTCATAAGTAGGAGCTAAATAATATGCACACATGGACATAGAGTGTGGAATTATAGACAATGGAGACTCAGAAGGGTGAGGGTATGGGAAAAGGGTAGATGATGATAAATTACTTAATGGGTACAATGTATGTTATTAAGGTGATGAATACCTTAAAAGCCCTAACTTTACCACTCAACAATATAGCCATGTAACAAAATTACACTTGTGCTTTATAAATTTATACAAAAACAGCTGTGCTGTTACTTTGGTCATCATAACAATATACACTCTTAACCTCAGTGGCCCTATCACTTACATTTTCTCTTTGCTCCCAACATGGTGAAAAATCCTGGAATTTTATTATTTGGTATCTTCAGTTCCTCAGCTCCCCTTTCTCTCTGCCTCTAGTCTGACTTTTTCTACTACCACTGTTCTGTGATGCTGCTTTGGAGGTCACTAATGATCTCCTTATTGCTAATTCAAAAGTCAATTCTTTTTTTTCTTTCATTTTAAGTTCCAGAATGCAAGTGTAGAATGTGCTGGTTTGTTACATAGGTATAATACATGTGCCATGGTGGTTTGCTGCACCTATCAACCCATCATCTAGGTTTTAAGCCCCACATGCATTAAGTATTTGTCCTAATGGTCTCCCTCCCCCTCCCCTGGCCCCGCCTCCCAACTGGCCCCAGTGTGTGTTGTTCCCCTCTCTGTGTTCTCATTGTTCATACCACTTATGAATGAGAACATGTGGTGTTTGGTTTTCCATTCCTATGCTAGTTTGCTGAAGATGACAGCTTCCAGCTTTATCCATGTCCCTGCAGGGGACATGATCTCATTCCTTTCTATAGCTTCATTGTGTTCCATGGTGTATATGTACCACATTTTCTTTTTCCAGTCTATCATTGATGAGCATTTGGATTGGTTCTATGTCTTTGCTATTGTGAATAGTGCTGCAATGAACATACATGTGCATGTGTCTTTATAGTAGAATGATTTATATTCCTTTGGGTATATACTCAGTCATGGGATTGCTAAGTCAAATGGTATTTCTGGTTCTAGATCCTTGAGGAATTGTCACACTGTTTTCCACAATGGTTGAACTAATTTACATTCCCACCAATGGTGTACAAGTGTCCTGTTTCTCCACAGCCTCACAAGCATCTATTGTTTCTTGACTTTTTAGTAATCGCCATTCTGATTGGTGTGAGATGGTATCTCATTGTGGTTTTGATTTATATTTCTCTAATGATCAGTGATGTTGAGCTATTTTTCATATGTTTGTTGGCCACATAAATGTCTTCTTTTGACAAGTGTCTGTTCATATCCTTTGCCCACTTTTTGATGGGGTTGTTTTTTTTCTTGTAAATTTTTTTAAGTTTCTTGTAGATTCTGGATATTAGACCTTTGTCAGATGGGTAGATTGCAAAAGTTTTCTCCCATTCTGTAGGTTGCCTGTTCATTCTGATGATAGTTTCCCTGGCTGTGCAGAAGCTATTTAGTTGAATTAGATCCCATTTGTTAATTTTGGCTTTGTTTGCAATTGCTTTTGGCATTTTGTTATGAAGTCTTTGCCCATGCCTATGTCCTAAATAGTATTGTCTACTTTTCTTCTAGGGCTTTTATGGTTTGGGGTTTTACATTTAAGTCTTTAATTCATCTTGAGATAATTTTTGTATAAGGTGTAAGGAAGGCATCCAGTTTCAATTTTTTGCATACGGCTAGCCAGTTCTCCCAGCACTATTTATTAAATAGGGGATTCTTTCCCCATTGCTTATTTTTGCTCGTTTGTTGAAGATCACATGGTTGTAGATGTGTGGTGTTATTTCTGAGGTCTCTATTCTGTTCCATTGGTTTTTATGTCTGTTTTGGTACCAGTACCATGCTGTTTTGGTTACTGCAGCCTTGTAGTACAGTTTAAAGTCAGATAACATAATGCCTCCAGCTTTGTTCTTTTTGCTTAGGATTGTCCCTGCTATACAGGCTCTTTATGGTTCCATATGCAATTAAAAGAAGTTTTTTCTAATTCTGTGAAGAATGTCAATGGTAACTTGATGGGAATAGCATGGAATCTATAAATTACTTTGGGCAGTATGGCTATTTTTACAATATTGATTCTTCCCATTCATGAGCATGGAATGTTTTTCCATTTGTGTATCTCATTTCCTAATGCAGTGGTTTGTGGTTCTCCTTGAAGAGGTCCTTTATATCCCTTGTTAACTGTATTCCTAGGTATTTTATTCTCTTTGTAGCAATTGTGAATGGGAATTCACTTATGATTTGGCTCTCTGCATGTCTATTGTTGGCATATAGGAATACTTGTGATTTTTGCACATTGTTTTTGTAATCTGAGACTTTGCTGAGGTTGCTTATCAGCTTAAGGAGTGTTTGGGCAGAGATAATGGAGTTTTCTAAACATAGAATCATGTCCTCTGAAAACAGATACAATTTGATTCCCTTTCCTCCTATTTGAACCCCGTTTATTTCTTTCGCTTTCCTGATTGCCCTGGCCAGAACTTCTAACACTATGTTGAATAAAAGTAGTAAGAGAGGGCATCCTTGTCTTGTGCCCATTTTCAAAGGGAACGCTTCCAGCTTTTGCCCATTCAGTATGATATTGGCTGTGGGTTTGTCAGAAATAGCTCTTTTTATTTTGAGATATGTTCCATCAATACCTAGTTTATTGAGAGTTTTTAACATGAAGGAATGTTGAATTTTATTGAAGGCCTTTTCTGCATCTGTTGAGATGATATTATGTGGTTTTGTCAGTGGTACTGTTTATGTGACAGATTACGTTTATTGATTTGTGTATGTTTACCAGCTTTGCATCAGGGATGAAGCCAACTTGATTGTGGTGGATAAGCTTTTTGATGTGCTGCTGGATTCATTTTGCCAGTATTTTATTGAGGATTTTTGCATCGATGTTCATCTGGAATATTGACCTGAAGAGTGTGTGTGTGTGTGTGTGTGTGTGTGTGTGTGTGTCTGCCAGGTTTTGGTATCAGGATGATGCTGGCTTCATAAAATGAGTTAGGGAGAAGTCCTTGCTTCTCAATAGTTTGGAATAGTTTCAGAAGAAATGGTAGAAACTATTGTATCTCTTTGTATCTCTGTTAGAATTAGCCTGTGAATCCATCTGGTCTTGGGTTTTTTT